ACTAATATCCTATAAATATTCTTACTGTATAACTATTCAACAATTACATTATGTATATTTGTATCCCTCTTATGACAAGCTTTATTTTGGCCTATAATTTATTATTGTACGATTTACGGTTCTTAAGTTATGTTCAGTTTATTAACTACTGCCTCCCACATTCACAGCCACTTTTTGGGTTTATTTGTGTACAAATACTATTTCCTATTTTATGGTACGTTGCGGTCTGTATGATTGATATATAAACCAAGTATGCCTGAAATAAACGATCTGCTCTGATTCGGAGGCTGGTATCTTGTTCTGGACTCAAGTGGAAGGGCTCGTAGGACATAGGACCAATAAGGACGCTAAACTGCCCACACCGGTTGAACGTCATTGGTTGGCCTAGTGTGAAGATTCGTATAAGTCGTATTCGGATTGGTAGATAAATCGCGTGATAGAAAAATCAGACATCCAAGGTCATAACACATACCACAGTGGACAGAAAAACGACATTCAGGTAACTTATATGAGTTCTTCATGACCGTGTTTAAATGAAAGTTGTTTGGTAGATTGAATCAAAGTTGACGACCGTAAAACAAAAAGCAATACACTGGAAGCAGGTACAACAGATAAAGCGCACAGTACAAAATGTTAGAATATACTAAACCTAGCCCCGATATGGAAAACTGTAAAAACCGAATTGTAAGCAGAGGCAAAGCTTCAGTTAATTATTAACCCGTATTTAGCTCAAAATGTAGATTCGTCTACCACATGTGAGGTTTGATGTTCATCCATCGTTCCAAGTAGTGGAATGCAAGTGAACAGGGGTGATAGATCTAGTGATATCATGAAGCTGTTCTTCACTGATAGACTTTTCAGATTCTCAACAAATTCAAAGGGATCCTTGACAGTATACTTACAGAAGAATTATTTTCGTACTTCTTTCATTCGGTTTTTTCGAACTTTTGTATTTTTTGAACCTTGTATTTTTCCTCAACATTCATCTGTTGATTCTTACATAACTGCTATTCTATTGACCATCCAAGAAAATATTCTGTTCATTCCCTTTTTCATATATTATACAACGTAGCAACTTCTTGATTTTTGAATAATTAGTTTGAATATAAATAATCCTCTTTCTTCTACTTACTTAATGTTAATTTGTAGTCGAAATGTCACTGTGTAATTATTACGTCACGCATCCAATCGATGAGTATTATTCCATTATTGTGAAATTTCGGCGAGATTCTAATTTAGCCAATCAGAAGCGTTTGAGCAATTTCAATTATTAGATAATCAGATGACAGTATAAAGTAAACATATATTATAAGAAAGTAATGAATTACAGTTGCTATTCTTCTTTTACATGATTTAAAAACTTGTTAAAGTTTGACAAAGGTTCAGAGGTTCTGAATTCATAATGCGTATGGTATAGAAACTGGTCCATAGGGTTAGGGTTAGGGTTGTAGTATCTCAATAAACACCTCTTCTCCAAAATCCGTTGTAAAACAATCGCATGTTAGCACCCTAACCCTATCCCAACCCTAACCTTAACCCTCAACCCTAACCTCAACCTTAACCCTAACCTTAACCCTAACCCTAAACCCTAACCCTAAACCCTAACGCTAACCTAACCCTAACCCTATGGACCAGTTTCTATACCATACGCATTATGAGTTCAGAACCTCTGAACCTTTGTCAAACTTAAACAAGTTTTTAAATCATGTAAAAGAAGAATATCCACTTTAATTCATTACTTTCTTATAATATATTTTCACTTTATACTTACTGTCTTCTGATTAGCTAATAATTGTCAAGGTAATTTAAGATTCGTTCATAGGTCGTCCTTAAATTAGAGTTTCGCCGAAATTTCTAAGCTCTTTCCTTTCCTTCTTTACTTACCAAATGTCAGAATATGAATTTTCACTAAGTCTATTAAGTCCTTAATGTTAGATGCATACAGATCAGATAACTTCCACTAGCACTCATGATGAAATGAATGTAGTGTTATGTCTCAATTATCATCATTTGCCTTGCTATATGCTGATGATGTCAAGATATGGATAGCGATGAGACGTAAGGGTGACAGATCAGAAATCCAAAATGACCTGGAGAAATTATTTGAATAGTCTCAGGCCCGTCAGTTGCTGATAAATACTTTCAAGTGTATTGTGGTGAATATTGGTCATCAAGGTACAGATATATACACGATGAATAACACTTAGCTGCTCGTTGTCCAGACGCACAATGAATTGGCAGTCATCGTTAACCAAGACATAAAGACTGCTGCACTGCTTTGCAATAGCCGTCAAAGGTTCTATAACTTTGTGGTCAATACGTAGCGTTTTCGATCATGTCTATGTTAAAACGTTTTCGACTTTGTATACAATGTCCGTGAGTCTTAAACTTCAGTACTGCATACAAGCAGCCAGCCCCTACTTAAAAAAAGACAGTGAGCTTCTGATAAAGGTTCAAAGAACAGCATCTAAGCTGATTCCTGGAAAAGCGAAGCTTCCGTATGAAGCTCGACTGGCCAAGCTCAACCTATTCCCGTCGTCATATTGTAGAACTAGAGGGGACTTGGTTACAGTTTTCAAATTGTTTAGTGATAAATTCGCGTCTGATATGCCCTCATTTTTCTTGTCGTTCAGAACAGAGAATTTACGAGGGCACTTAAAAATGTTCACAAGCCAAGAACAAATTACTTGCCAGCTGACTATCGACTTTTCCATCGAATCATCAACGAATGGAATTCAATACCTCGGCACGTGGTTGAGGCTCCACCCATAGACTCTTATTAAAGAAAGTTGGATCAACAGAGAGACCATCAACGGCAGTATTGACACAGGCCCACAAGCCTCCAGACGTTTTGAAATTGAAGCCATGTTTAAATTAAGCCACTTTCTCGAATATCATTGATGTAACACTTTGTGTTATATGCGTATTTGACATGAACTTCAATAATCATAGGTTTGAAAAATTGTGCGAAAACTTGGTTTTTCAAGTTAACAAGCCATATATAGGCGATCGGTTACTTTTGTTTTTCTTTGGTATTTATATGTATTTAGGTCGCTAATGTTTTCTCGCACTGTTTGGTTTTTATTCCTCCCTATGCAATAATGTGAAACACGTATACGGAGATGATATACAAGTAATCATCATCCTGGTTCGCCGATGATCGAAGAATTTTATTGCCGCATATCTTAGTGCAAATTTCCAATTTATAAAGTATACTTTAGGTACAACTCAAGCATGTGGTGTTCATGAACATTTAGATTATATATTTCATTTTTGGATGGGTTGTTACTGGTTTTTCTGGAATATTCGCCTTGATTGCGACAATTTTGTGCCATTTGAGACCACTTTGTCTTCTGGTGACAGTGAATAAAGCGGGCCGGCCAACTTTGAATACTTTTAAACAATATCTAACATGATAAAATTTCGCTAGATCAAAGTTATTTATTCTCTCGCAGTACAAAACGATGTATACCTTCTTTAGAAACCATGAAAATGAGAGTATCTTCGGCATTTTATCAGAATAACCAAACTATTACAATGCTGGTATTCGGCAGACAATTTTGATTTCTGATGTTAAAAGCAACTGAACTCTCACTTTTCTTCATAAGATGAGATAAGAGTCGATCTTTAATAACAGTTTAATTTCTTCTAATCTGTGGAACTTTCAAAATTTGTTTTATTTTATGCAATGGAATAACCCGAGCAACCAATAAAGGGGACGAAAGCGTAAATAAATCGGAAATGTCGCTTTTTCGCCTATAAGTCGGTTATACAGGGGGGAATGTCGATTTTTTCCCTTAGGTCGTGTATTTGGGGGACATTTATCGACAATTAATTCTGTGCAAAACTTGTAGTTTTATGATGATAAACATTCGACGTATTTTAATCCACATATTCTGAAGATTTCTTTTGAAACTAACTGATATAGTTTGGTAAAAGTCTCCAGGTTTCATTTCGTAAGATTGTCATATTTAAGAAACTGAGTTACTGCGAGAAATTGGTTTTGGTGAAGCAGTTGTATCTATTATTTTCTTACAAAACTTGAGTTTTTTCTACCATACTATTTCTTCCGACTTTTCGTTTATTTTCTTTCCTTGGGTTTAACGTCCTATTGTAATGCTTGTTGTTTTACCGATAATCTGCTTGGGAAAATTGGAATTTGTTTCGATTTGCTTGTATGAGCTGTTGGAATCTGGATCGTCATATATTTGCGCGAAGTTAAACATTTAAGATGATATACAAGTAATTAACTACTTAACTAATGTTATAACGTGGCCTGTGTGCCCTGTTAATGTATAATGTAATGATACTGCCAATTAGAGAACAGTGAATTATCGATTGAACCGATGACGCATAAAACCCGTGCGAGCAGCCTAGAGTCGTTAACGGTCTTGCTTTCCGCCTAGCCCGGCATGTTAGGTCCAGAACACCAATCTCAGCCTCTGCGATATGAATCATGTATTCCAAGCACAATGGGTTTATATATCAACCAAACAGACCACATCGTTCCATAAAATAGGAAACAAAATTTGTACAGGATTTATTCAAAAGTGGCTGTGAATAAGAGAGATAGTAATGCATAGACATGGCGTAGTTTAAGAATGGTAAATAATATAATAACAGTTCATAGGTCAAAATAAAGCTCATGATAAGAGGAACACGAATATGAACAGTTTAGTTACATAACAATAATACGACAAAAATATACGTATAGTATTGGTCCATAAATGCATTCCAAGAGCTACGATTCATTATTTTCATCGGGATATAACACCTAATTCTCAATATGATTATTATTGGCTTAAATATCAACCTGATTAATAATATCTTTTCTTACGACACTATTTATAAGCTAATTCTCTAATCGTTGATTTATATTTACTCTTCTTATTATTATTGTTTGGTGTAATGGTTCACTCCTTTGCTTATAGCTATACTCCTTATTTTTAGATTAACAGCATAATCAATAAACAAAGTTTTTTCTTGGTCATCGTCTCTACATGAGTTGTAATAGTTGTGTGCTCAAGGACCACTTTACTCTACCACCGGAGGTAATTGTTTGTTTTTGAATGGTAAAGTATTTGATAATATCCAGGATTCAAATGCCAGATATATCAGTGAATTAACACACAATGAACAGTTATTGAAAAAAACTAAATTAAAACAGTTTTTGATAACAGAACAAAAGCGATCGAAATTGTATAGATCATTAATTGCTAAAGTTAATTCCAGTTGTATAGATGGCGTAAGAATATCAGAACGCTTTATCTTTAAATTTAGAAACTGTTATCTAATTTACCCAGTGAATCAGTTCTTACTACTTTGAATCAAAATGCATCGTGTGATAGCACGAGAAGAACGGATTCTCAAAGTAATTTTACAGCTTGGTGTTTTATAAACCGTTAAAATTCTAATTTTTGTAGAGTGCAGTAATCGTCGTGAAGTATTAACCAATGTAAGTTTATATTTATTAGTAGTATTTTTATCTATTTCACTCTGTTATTATCTTTTGTCTAAAGTTTATCAATCCTACGGAACTTTCATTTCCGTTTAAGCCGTTTGTTTGTCAAAGACTCATAAAAGGAAAACCTGTGGTTTTTATTGCGTTTCACATAAGAGTGAGATTATAATTCATTTGTAGTGTTTGTTTAAATCCTCCTAGTGGTGTTTAAAACCTTAATTGATCAGTCCGTTTTGACATATATGGATTCCAAGTGAATCGCTCAGATATTTTGTTAAGTCACGAGCATCATAAACAGAGTTGGATGCTAAATAGCAGTGGAATCCAGGACTAGCGTTTCATTTTATTCGAGACTGGTTGGCCAAATGTATTCGCTTTGGAACTTAAATCCCACACCGACCGCTTCAGATACCATCGCGTTATCCATTCAGCTTAGTGAACTTCAACTCTGAAATGTAGGTGCATCGGACTGACTGGTCTGAACTAGTGCGAAATGCATCTTCTGGGTTTCACTGCTAGCGACCATTTAACTCTGCTTATAACGAGCGAGATTATGTTTAAATACTTATGATAGAAGTAATATTCTCAGTACTTTGAAACTAGTCTCAGTATGTAAGGTCTAAAAGTTGTAGGCTTTTATTAAATATATTAATAGAAGTGTTTCATATTGTCCAACCTTCTTTAGTATACATTAACGAATGAAGTTGAGGTCAGTAGTCCTGGCCATTGACTGATGTGAAAGCAGATTATTTAGTAATTTATTTTTTTATAGAAGATAATTAACTGATTTAAAACCGTTTTAAATTTCAAAATTTTGCAATCAGCCCAGTTGTACTAAAGAACAAAGTTTATTGGACTATTAGATAGTGAATGATAAGCAAAAATCTGGATATCTCTATTTGTAATTTTCAAACACCAAATTGCACTTCCGTTATTGTAAACTATCAGTTACTTATCTATGACTGCTAGTCAATATTAAAGGCATCTATTCTTTGTATCATTCATACAAAAACATTTGTACTGCGCGGCAGTCCGTTATGTCCTACTTTACGGCAGCGAAACATCGCAATTAAGAGTAGAAGACACTCGTAAGCTACTAGTATTCGACAACTGATGCCTTAGAAATATTGCTGGCGTCTGCTGGGATCACCGGGTAAGTAATAGTGAGGTTAGACGCAGGGTATTAGGGAATGATGGTAAATCAGTTGATGACGTTGTGAATCTTCATCGACTGAGATGGTTGGGCCACGTGTTACGTATGCCTGAACACTGATTACCACGATGCGCGATGCTAACCGGTGTTGGAGAGAGTTGGAAGAAAGTTAGAGGCGGCCAAACCAAAACGTGGGATCAGTACTTGAAGTCATTAACTTCTAGTCTGAGCCATGTTGGTAGATGCAGACTACTTGGTTGGGCTACGCGTGACTATCGTAACCAATGGTTGGAGACTGGGTGATATGGCTCAGAATTTATCACAATGGAGTCGGTGTATACACTCTGTCTTCCCTTAAACTATGAGATTAAAATCGCTTCATATCTTTATTTCTACGAACTAATTCCTTCTTCCTATACTATATCCTTACATGCAATCTTTCTTTTATATATTACTACCATTGAATTAACTACTTCTATGAATCCAGTGTTCTTCTTGCTGTACTAATGCGGTATGGCAACTTGGACTGATGCATATATGTGTCTGGTCTTACGTTGTAGCTGACTGACTAGCTGACTTATTATTGAGATATAAAACGAGATACTTCTATCGTAATATTCATGCAATTTGATGAAGATATTTATTATGAAGATAATCGATTCTTACAGTCTTCTATATATTGTTAGATAGATACTTACGAAGCATATTTTTTGTGAGATTTTGCACGTTCTCATAGGCATAAAATTGTTTTTAATGCGTTTTTAAAATTATTTCGAAATATGTTTGTTTAAACATTTGTAAACACATAAATTCGTCCTGTGAACTGATTTCTGTTTAAAGTGGCATAATGTATGATGTGACAGTCCCTTTCCCTACGCGTTACTTCCTTTCATGTTTTTTTTTCAGTCAGAAAAGTTTTTCACACAATCACCTAGGCAAGAAACTAGTTTATCTAGTCGTACAATAACAACAACAACAAACAATACTACACATAATCATTGTAAATGTACTGAAAAGAGTATTGATGACTTGTCCAGTCGTGCTAAGGCGTTATCACTTCATAGTTTCCCTTATCTCGTGAAAAGTTTAAAACTTAGAACTTCTAGCTTACATGAGCATAAAGCTAGACAAATGAGACAGGCAGTTGGAAGACGTATTTATTCAGATGCTGAGCGTAAAAAAGTCTGTGATCTACGTCAAAATAAAGAAGATTTAATTTTATCGGAAAACATTAAAGGTGATACATTAGTCTTGTTTTTTCAACCCAACATTCTTTTTTCGGTCTTTCCTACTGTTGTTTTATTAATCCATTTCTTAAATTAAAAGACTTGACAGTCTGGGGTTAAAGTTGACCAAAGACGCTTTGTGATAGTAATGTGAATGTAATTTAATATATAAGCTAACTAGTCTTACTAAATCAACACTAAGGTTTCAACAAATAAATTGAGTTTAGAATATAAAAATTTAAGGATTTCGTTTATGTGATACAAACTACTGAATACATTATTCACCATCTCTAAGATGGTGTGGCTTCGTAAATGGAATAGAATTAAAAGAACCTCAAAATAGCTTGGTACGGTTAAAGATAGTAAGACTTGAGAGTTCTTTCCATATAGTAGTAGGTTAGCTTCTTGGCTTAGAACGTGACGGTGCCTTGGTCTGTAGTGTATGCTACTTAAGTCTGTCAACATAAGTAGTATGTAACACAATAGGAAGTGAGAAACATGAGAGCAGAAGGCTTAGAGGATTGAGTTGAAGACAATAGAAGGGAAAATAGGAAGGAATTGTGAACTGGAAGAATCATATGGAATGTAAAGGATAAATGGTGGAAATTTGAAAGTGCAGTATTCAGTGTATTGTTCTCATATTTTACTAAGATATTTCGTAAGTTTGTATTAGAACTACAATCGGTTGTCCCCACACGTAATCTCGTTCACAAAAGGTCTATCTAGGGAAATTGGGAAACTGTAATATCTGACTAATGCCACACATGGATTCCTAGTCTTAAGGGTACGGGTGAAGCACGAATCAACCTTAAATACCGGACATTTTGGGAATTTGTTTCTTATCGTTAATAAACTGTTATTTTCAAATTTCACCAGTATCAAAGAAACGTGTATGGTGTATCGCTGAACTTGGTGCTAATAAGCATTGCATAAGCTTGTAAATTCATTTCACGCCAAGATAAAAAAGGAAGAGATAATTGGTTGGGAATTTTAAAGGATTTAATTTCTCCATATATTCTTTAGCATTGATTTCTCCCATTGTCAAGGCTTTAATTACTGAGCTAATTTTGTTCCTCAAATTGGTAAAGCATCATCCATCAGCTTGATTTCATTATACTAATTTTAGTTGTGGAGTAATCGTTAAAAGTCAGCTCAAGTTCATGAGTTCGTCAAACTGACTTCTCCTTATCTAAAATTTCGAGATTATTTCTGGTAATCTGTTGATTGAATCGCAGTTTGTTTTTGTCTAAAACACCATCAGTGATTAAAAAATGATAAAATAGCTTTACTTGATTCCAATCGAAATTTTATAGAACTGTGTCGTCGAAACCAACTCAGAATCTTAAATCATCTACTCTTCCTAAGTAAAAGCACATGATATTATAATTCTCATATTATGTTTATAATAATGTAATCATGTATCATCAACAATTGACAGTGATTATAAAACTGTAAGGTCATCTACCTGGGTATAATTTTACACCGATATGATGTGGTTGTTTATTTATTGAAACACATAAACATTGGTACAAGGAGGCACCAAACATATATGTATCACACTTCACCATTCGATTTGTGTGAGGGCTGGAATAATGCCCTAACGCCCAAACCGAGGCAGGTGGTTTTCTTCAGTGGCTTTCGTCAAGCCTCTGATCTAAGAGTCTAATTCACAAATCAGTGGAGCAATGTCAGGAGATGCAGTTTTATGGTAGCTAGTGACCAACAATAGGTGCATACGCCATTCGTCCCCTTAAGATCCTGGAGACTACAGGGAACCTTTGGTTTGAAATCAAGCTTTCCAACTCTCCTAAGTGGATCTTTTATATTCACCAACCCGGTTAAAGCGCTAGACATTCGCTTTTAGTCCTCTCAGTTTCGTAAACGACACCCTCATCGAAAGTATACAGTGAATAGGACTTCATCGGCAGTGGCTGTTATCCATGACCACCCCACCCTTAGCCGTACATTGATACAAACTTTCGTCAGTTCCAAATAAATTCTCCCCTTTTTTTAAAACCCAGCTATCGCATACCTACGTCTAGAAAAGCTTTTTGAATTCTATTGACATGGTATTTTATCCTGGTACCCTATTTATAAAGATGAAAGAAATCTTTATTATCGCTTCTTGTTTATTTTTTTAGCTAAAGCTGAAAAACATTTTCTTAATGTAAAATCTAATAAAACTCCTAAATCGTCTAATTATTTGGAGAGAAATTCAACACAAATTATGTCTACTAATAGAGATAATTTGACAGTAAATGATCATAGAAACTTAATTGACGAAAATAAACTCAATAATAATTCGAATCAAACAATTAAGTGTAATTATAAAGAGAATGAAGTGTTTTATTCAAAAGATACGAATTTGTCCGATACCATGGATACTAAAGAGATGTAAGTCAATATGAAGTAAATTATTTAGAAAAAAACTCATTTAAATAGTCATGTATGTCTGATTTAATCAATTCAGTCATTGTAATTTGTTTCAATTATAATTCAACAGTTTAGGAATCTTTTTTGGTTGAGATCATGAACCTATTGATGTTAGACCACCATTGGAAACTTGGAATCAGTGGACGGCGCGAGACTGAAGGCTCTGAGTCCGAATCCCGTAAGCGGGATCGTGGATGCGCACTGCTGAAGAGCCCCACAATAGGACGAAATGGCCGTTCATTGCTTCTAAATTTTCAATGGTGGTCCAGCATTAATCGGTTTATGATCTCAATCAAAAACTTAATAACCTTCACAACCCCTATACTGAGTTTAAGAATCCTCATAGAATATTCAAAAATGAAGAATATTTGAGCAAACTATTGTTTTCAGTAACTTTATCATCAGCCTCTACAGTTATAAGTTCATAGTTGTTGAGATATTTTCCAAAATAAGGCATGTAATAATAGATTTGACAATGTTCTATATTAAAAATAGTGAACGTTTGCATCTGTTACTTCAAAATTGTGTTATTCGCAAGTTAGAAAGGTTATTTAATATAGGTCAGAATGATTTGGAGTAAAGTGTCCAGTCACAATCAGTAGAATAGTATTATAGCAAGAATGAAAATGCGAAAAATTCGCGTGAATGAAATGTATTTCATCTTGTCAACTGAGATAATAATAATATTGTTGTGTGAATATAATATGTAATAAGAGGGGTGTTATCAAGGTAATTACGATAAACGGATTGAGAATGATGGATGTGAAGATTAAGATACGGGTAATTAAGAAAAAAAGGACGGAAGTGAGAGGTTTATAATATTCAGTTTAGGTATCCGGTGATCCAGTCGTAGGCCAAGGTAAACATAGAGGCTGGATATACCTTTTCTATATACATAAGTTTGGTTTTCTGGAGTTGATCCAGATGGCTTCGGCTATGTAGAGTAACCGTAATCTAGCTCCATGAGGTAGATTTTTTAGAACTTGATATAAGACAGAGGAAGCTTAATCTATTTTCATGTGATGTTCACTATCTGCCAAGTGAGAAAGCATAATGCTGCTGATCGATTTAGTAACTCTTTTTCCCAACCATGCTGATACATGTTCACGAACATGCAAGGATAAAGCCCTCTGGGTACGGCCTGATGATGAAGTTACTGAGAACAATTGTTCGCTCAAATATTCCTCATTTTTTATTATAATTCAATTTAAATTTGAGAAATCACTCATAATCAAGGATAGAATTAGGAAGTCGGTTTTACATTTAATCCTTAATCATTTCCCTTCGACTCTTTTGAGTATTGTTTTATACTACTTATTTATATTCAGTGAATAGTTGTATTCTTAGGAATGTTTAAGCTGATGTTGTAACTCAAGTTTGTCGTGTGATATTCTGAAATATTCACATGTACTTATAACATTTATTGTATTTATCATTATGATTACTTTATCTCAATCATTGTAGCAGTTATTCACTATTATGTGCATTTGTTTAACCCTTGTTTAAACGCAACGGCTTCCATATTGTTTACTCTTGGTTCGGTTTTTTTGCTAAAACCTAAAAGCTGTCTTTTGCACTATCGTATTTTGGAATTATTCTTTATGTTACTATTATTCGGAAACCCTTTTTATTTCAGACAAAAAGACGAGGTAAACACCGCAGACACCTCACAAGTCAGTCAGTCAGCTACAACGTAAGACCAGACACATATATGCATCAGTCCAAGTTGCCATACCGCATTAGTACAGCAAGAAGAACACTGGATTCATAGAAGTAGTTAGTTCAATGGTAGTAATATATAAAAGAAAGATTGCATGTAAGGATATAGTATAGGAAGAAGGAATTAGTTCGTAGAAAGAAAGATACTAAGCAATTTTAATCTCATAGTTTAAGGGAAGACAAAGAGTGTATACACCTACACCATTGTGATCGATTCTGAACAATGTCACACAGAGTCTCCAACCATTGGTTACGATAGTCACGCGTAGCCCAACCAAGTAGTCTGCATCTACCAACATGGCTCAGACTAGAAGTTAATGACTTCAAGTACTGATCCTACGTTTTGGTTTGGCCGCCCTTAACTTTCTTCCAACCATCTCCAACAACTCAAAAATTGAAGTTTGCAACTAATCTAGTATATTATTCAATAAATATTAGCTGTTTTAAACAAATCATTGGTTTTGTGAACATCGATTTTGTGCGTATCTCAATTGGGTGATTTAGACCATCGATAGACTTAACATTATATATATAATTCTTTTCATAGTATTATTATCAGTAAAAAATAAGTAAACCCTTCAATGTTCATTCATATTCTCACTTGTTGGTAGATAGTATAGTGGAGGAAATGCTTAATTTAATTAGAATATATCATTTACTTATAACAGGTAGTCTATTTTTGTAATTGAACTGTCCATTTCATAAGCAGACGTTTACTGCTACTCACTAGTTCGATATTGTGATATAACATCAAGTATATTAGACTTATACATAGATAACGTTACAATGGATACATAACCATTCATATTATATTGTTATCTGCTACAATGCATTTTCTTATACCAAAGCATTGTGATTCATCAAACAGATATGCTGAACTGTTGATAGGGCAATGATTCCACTCGAATCATATAATATTTATTTATCTTCAAATACTATATGTCTAGCACATTTAAAGTTCATTTTGAATATTCTTTAAAGCAACGGACAATTTGTTAACTAAAGTATGTATATAGTAAACCGTTCGTAAGCACATCTTCGGTTAACTAATGCTTAACAAATTGAAACTTTATGCGGCTATTTCCCATTAACATTTATTCCACGATTTGCTACAGAGGTTTCATAAATAATGGGACAAATGCCAAAGTACCGTACGAAGAAACGTTGTTAACTTGGCTAACTTTAGTAGGTTTCTAGTAATTAATAGCACACTTTTGGTTAATTAAACGAAATTAGATAAAAGGTTTAATTTTAAGTTTGTTTGATCATGTTATAATCTCTTTCTTACGGTTATGACCCAGCTATTCCTGTTGCTCAGTATTCTTGGACACCGATTCACTCGACAAGTCCCCAAATCAGAACACGGTTGAACAGGAAAGAGATTATATTCCAAATAACCAGGTTAGATGGAAGTAAGATGCAAGTGAAAAGCACAATAGGGAAAACATTAGTACATTTATAGTTTTTACATGAGAAGATTCTAGAGTATGCTCCAACTATCGACTAGTGCTGATTGGATAAGAATTAGCCAATCAGCGTGCAGCAAAGCAATCGTGCATTGAGCATGCTTTAATCCAGTCTATGTCCCGCTAACAGATCATTTCCATTCATTACCTGCCTGAAAATCTAAACATTTGAAAGGGTCTAATTACCTATCCTCCTCCAAATAGGTCAATATACATTATATAGTAAGCCGTATACCTGACAAACAATTATTGAAATTAGATCCCTAGTTTTGAAATTACCTCATACTTATTATTCATTGAATTCATTCTTCCTACTCGAATCATACTGTCCATGTGTAATTTTTTCTACCATTACTGATACCGTCACTACTTCTACTATTCTGAGATAAGTTTTAACTCTCTTATTTTGCCATAATCATAAGGTGTGCCGACTTGAACAGTTGCACATATGTGCCAGGTTCTACGTTGATTATGACTGACAGATGCAGAAGCAAATAAGCTGCACAAAATGGTAGTAACATGGTTATCAACCTTTAGACCAATAAACTAAGTGTTCATTTACTATACCACACTTCTACGCCTATATTTGCATTGATTCACTGTATTACTACTTTGTTAGTTATGCTTGTTGAGCTTAGAGCAGCACAGTTCTAGAAGTCATCACTGAACCATTAGAGGTTTGATTGACTTCTATTAGGGCTGAACTTAATAGGATATAAATATGTAACTGTAATAGCTTAACAGTAATCTCTTTAAATTTGATTCTGAACTATTTGGACATAAAATGGGCCTTTCATAGGATAAGGAGGAAATATTCTTCACTGTAAACAGATAGTATCATAACTGTTTAAATTCCATTTTGTCTGTTTGGAAATACATTGTAATGGTACTACCAACGATCAATATTTGATGAAAAAAGAGGATTCTTAAACAATCGTTTCGGTAAATTTAAAATGAATAAAAAGTCATCATTCTTAAAAATTCTGATCTCACAGCCTATTATTCTTGTCTAATATCAATCTTTATTGTTAACTATGTAATTTAACAATTTTCGCAAACCTCGTTTAGTCATAAAAATTCATTATCCAACTATAGTAAACCAGTTCATGTTAGTAAAGGGCGATTATCCGCTGAAATCAATATAGATTTTTTCTTACATCCAAAATAGTTAATTCTACAGGTTACGCCTTCTCATTTAAACTTACGAAGTTCTAGATATGCAACATTCATTTTCATTTACCTTTTAGTGGCCTGATATCTGTCTCCAGTCAGATTGTTTCTGATGATTGTTGCCGAAATATACATGCTGAAAATCGCGTTAGTGAATAACGGAATGAAATGAACCAAACACGAGAATGAATTTTGAATACGTTTATTTCATACAACCGTGACGCGCATCGATGTGGCGAGTGAGCCAACTCGTTTTGATCAAGCGTAACTCAGTATTTATATTCAGACAAAAATAATTTACATATACGTAATGAATAGGATGAGCAATCGACGAACACGATCATGTGAAAGCGGCCACGATTATTAAGCGAATAATTGAAAAGGTCAAAATATGGCTCAAGAAGGAATAAATTGGTATGTCTAGAATCTAGAATGCTTATATGGGCTTGACCTAGTGGCAGCGACTACAACCTGGCAAAATATAAATAAACGTGTTAGGGAATGGTCTTAGCATTCTTCCATTAAAAGTAACCACCTAGATTTCCTAAACACTACTACCGGCCAAATACTTCATGCATTCCAATTTATTATAGCCAATCTGACTCAGTGTATTTATTGTTCCAACTAGTTACTACAATATTTTATTCCATTGGTTAAAATGTTTTGATATTTTGTAGAAGTCTGGAAAAACCCGAACGTGATGGTCATAATGGCGAGATGCTTTCCTTATGGTCTCGCTTATCTAATCGTCTGAATAAAAAAATTCCACCGCTTTGTCTCTGCATGGAATATTCTCGCCATGATATTGATGAAGTCCCACCATGGTTGAAATGTGCCAATAATTGTAAATTTTATCATAATCCAGAAGGTATGAGCAAGGATTCATATTTTAATGACCATATTCTCACGTGCTAGTTGACTACAAACGGTAATCAGTGATTATTATCTTGAAATGCTATGACCTAAAAACCTACGGTTATCACAATTATCAGATCTGTGTTCTGCCGAACACATGCCGTCCCCTTCAATAGGAATGTTCACAAATGGTTCATTTACAAGTACAGATGTTTATATTGATGTATCCTGATAAAAATCAAGTGATGTTCTCTAATTACTTCTGAACTGGTAGGAAATTAACACACTTACTTACGCCTGTTACCCCTCGTGGAGGAGCATAGGCCACCCTTTACATTTGCATCAGATCCTCAGTGTTCATCGATGGTAATTTTGCAGTATAGTTCGTCGTATAAATTCCAGATAATGTTGACGATTTTCTCAGTTACTTCATATTGTTGAGGAAGGTTCCATAAAGTCCTCTCGTCAACACTGTCTTACGCTTTCTCATAGTCTATAAATTTGATGTATGGTGACGCGTTCCACTCAACTGATTGTTCAACGATAATCCATAGTGCTGCGATTTGGTCTGTGCACGACCGATCCTTACAGAATCCGGTCTATTGATCTCGAAAGTGGAAATCTACTGAGTCTTTCATCCAGTTCAGCAACACTGTTGAAAACTTTTCCTGGCACTGACAGTAGTGTGATTCCTCTGTAGTTCTCACATTTCCTCAGATCTCCTTTCTTTAGTGTTTTGATGAGATGTCGTTCTTTGCAGTTTGTCGGCACTTGTTCTTCCTGACTAGAACGTGGAGCATGTTTGCAGTTACTTCTATGTCTGACTTCGGTGGTTCAGGTGGTATATAGTCAAGTCCTGCTGCTTCTCCACTCTTGATTTGTCTGATGGCCATCCTGATTTCTTCGATCGTTGGTGAAGTGACATCTACAGGGAGGTCTGTAGGTGTTGCTTCGATGTCCAGTGGGTTCATTAGAGCTGGTCTATTCAAGAGGTCCTCGAAGTATTCTACCCATCTGTTCCTCTGTTCTTGAATCTCGGTGATTGTCTTGCCTTCTTTGTCCCTGACCGGTCTCTCTGGTTTACTGTAATTGCTTGCCAGTTTCTACGTTGTGTCATATAATTATTTCATGATTCTTTCTCTTACAGCCTTTTCCGCTGTCGTCGCTACGTCTGTTTGTCAGCTCTAATGCTCCTTATCACTTGCTCGTTTACTTCTGTGTATTCAGCTTGTGCTTTAACTTTCTCTGTTCTTGTTCGGTTTTTCTTAACTGCTATCTCCTTGTTCTTCCTTTCTTGAATCATGTTTAGGATTTCGGTAGGGATCCATTCATCATGATGATGCTTCTTGCATCCAGAACCTCCTGACATTTTGAAGTTAGTGTTTTTTTGTTGCCTTTCCAGTTGTCCTTGATCGTTGTTTATTCTTTTTTGAGTAGATCCTATGAGGCTTGGAGCCTGTTGTTGAGAGTTATTTTGAATTCGCTGAGTTTGTCAGTATGTCGAAGGAAGGCTGTAATGAACCTTTGTAATGCTTCTTTCCGCAGTTGTCCAGTGTTTCTTTATCTTCACTTTCATCATGGCCACAACCAAGTGATGATCTGAAGCTATGTCAATTCCTCTCTTAGTTCTCACATCGCTTATCCTTCGGAATGTTTTATTAATGCAAATATAATCGACCTTGTTTTCCGTTGTGTGTTCCGATAAGACTCGTGTAGCTTTGTGCCGCTTATAACCAGATTTTTAATGCACGTACATTTGCGAATCTCTCCCCATTTTCGTTTTTGTCTCCTAGTCCATGTCGTCCCATAATATCTTCACTATCGTTGTTATCCGTTCCAACTTCGACGTTTAGATCTCCCATTAAGATGGTCAGGTCGTTTGCTGGACACTGGTGCATGATCGATTGCAGCCTCTCGTAGAACTGATCTGTATGGTCGTCATTGTTACCACTAGTCGGTGCATAACATTCACTGCAATTGCCTCATTCTTTGTTTTTGAGGACCATGGGTCTGTGACATTCCCATCCTATAAGTGCTTTACGTGCTTCTTTGGACAACATCAGAGCAACTCCTTGAATGTATGGAGCATTTTCTTCGTCGTGACCAGAGTACACCAGCATTTCTCCTGAATCTAATATTTTCTGTCCAGCTTGGGTCCAATGGGTTTCACTGGTTCCAAGCACCACCAAGCTGGCTCGGTCTCCAACATTGTCTGGACATCCCATGTACCTACAAAAATTGTTGTTCTGGTTGTTAAAATAGGGCTTCGGTCTCGTGACTTCCGAAGAATCTTGGGTTTCATCATTTGGCGTCATAATTCTTACTTCAACTTCCAGGGTAGAGTTTAAATTGTTTAGTCTGATTAGTGTTTTTAACAAGGTTGTTTCCTACGGGATGGGGTTGCCGACCTCACACCCAACATTCCTCTTTTACCCGGGCCTGTGACAGGCAGTAACTCTGGAAGAACTACAGAAAAATTTAAATTGACATGTATTGGTTGATAAATACCTTTGGTTGCTGCTTTATTCTAGTGAAGATTAAATTACGAGTAACTTCTGAAACCTATCAATGGACTAATATTATCTATATATTCTTATGGTATAACTATTCAATAACTAGATTGTGTATATCTACATTCCTCTTATTATAAGCTTCATTTTGACCTATAGATTATTATTGTACGATTTACTGTTCTTAAGTTACGTCCAGTTTGTTGACAACTGTCTCCCACGTTTACATCCACATTTTGGCTTTATTGCGTATAAATGTTATTTCCTATTTTATGGTGCGTTGTGGTCTGTTTGGTTGATATATAAACCCAGTTATGTCTGAAATAAATGATTCACATAGTTGAGGCTATTATTGGCATTCTGGACTCAACTGAGTGGGTTAGGCGAGCAACGGACCAATAGGACGCTAGGCTGATCAGACCGGACGGACATCACTGGTCTAGTACAGTACAAGAGCGAATAAGTCGTATTTTGATTGGCGAATAAATTACGTGATAACTAGCAGGCCATAAAAACACAACAGTCGCTTAGCTGGAGAATATTTTCACAAAGAAGTCTAGTAACTTCTGATTTGTTCTTATCGCAACTGAGTCAATTTGGTGATGGGATTTTGTTGTGATTGCTATTTGCCGTGATAGACAGATTACCAAAATGAAATCACCTTAACTGATTACTAAATGTTAAATTAGATCAAGCGCACAGTGAACTTCCTTGCGAAAGAAGTTCTCTAATTATTTCAAACTAAGTTTTTTTCCATTAAAATTTCTTAAACAAGTAAACTACCTTCGATATTTGACTGTTTTATATAATATTCAACTATTTTGTTGATGACTGGTGTGATATCTATACAAGAAAGTTTTGAAAAATTATTAGTTAGATTAGTGTACCCTTTGTCTTTGTTACCTATATGCACATAAAATTATGGTGACTGACATATATTCAGTCTAATGTTATGGGATGTTTTGTACTTGCTTCATTCTACCCTCATATATTTTGTTCATTAAAATTGAATTTATTGGGGATTTTATTAAAATTGGTACTTTATTTTTATCATAACTCCATGACGAATAGATGGATCTGTTTGTAAACTAAACAATAAATACAAGGTTCGCATAATTCATTTTCTGACATTTTTAAGTGTAGACAACACAAAATGCATGACAATTCTGTAGTCTAAGAAAGTGATTCGCTAATACTTTACAATTCAGTTTGTTTATGAGGATTGTTTGAAAGTTAGGGTTAAGTGAACATGTTGCATCAGTAGACTCTTATTAACTCCACTACCTAGTGCCTGGTATAAAATATCAATATTAATTTAGTGAAAGGTATATATATATTTATACCATATAAATTACAAGTAATTGAAACCCGGATGTGCTAATAATAAGGCATTCATATTTCTCATATTGTGAGACAACTCATTTCTCAGGTCATGAAAATTCGTAAAACATTTGATGTCAAACTAATTACAATACGAATACTGTTGCTACATTTCTTGTTGTTTTAGCGAAACCCTACCTTACTGTTAATCCATGGTATACGTTCTCTTATCTTCACAGCTTTTCTTAAGGTGTTACTGGACTATATGCAATCGCTAAACCTGTAATAAGGTCGAAGAACAAATCCCCATCATATTAAACAGCTACATTCTGTGAAATTCGCAACTTTTGGATCATAGTTATCAGATTTTGGTGGGTGATTCTACTTGAATAAAAAAATCATTGGCTAGAAATGTCTTTGTTTTGAATTCACAAAAGCAGTTTAAGATTTTTAAGCTTATCCCCGGTTCCATTTTACGAATTTCATTCGAGTGACCGAGTGATCTTGTAAGTTAATAAGTGTACCCTACTAATCAGTAATATTATGATTGAATCGTACCTAAACTCTAAGGTGGGACATCATTTATATTACACTTTAGAGCTGTTACGAGCCCAAAGTTAGTTAATCTTGAGACTGAAATAGTCTACATAATCTGAGCAATATATATTTAGTCAGTCATCATCAACGCATAGGGTATATATTAGTCAAATTCGATAACGTAAACTGACATGATAATATCTGTATTACTAACTGCATCGACTAAAAATCAAAAGTTGACTACATACAAAATATAAGTATTTATTAAAGTACGAAAAGAATGCCAAGAATTATACAAGGTCTGAAACATTCATTGGCATTTCATCAATTTGTGTAGAGTAGTACTGTTCAATATCGCGTAAGATTTTTATATCATCCGTTTTTACAAAGTTAATCGCTACACCTTTACGTCCGAAACGGCCCGATCGACCTATACGATGGATGTAAAGTTCACGATTGTTAGGTAAATCGTAGTTTATGACAAGAGATACCTGTTGGACATCAATACCTCGTGCCCACAAGTCTGTTGTTATGAGGACACGGCTGAAATGTAAACATAATCAACAAGTGAATTACTAAAAGTCAATTTTACTGACTCGTATTTTTATACTTTTCAATAAAACAAGTATTTAAAATAGTTGGTCTCTTTCATAATTTAGGATAATGTAAATGAAAAGACGAAGCTTGTCAAAACTGTGATATATTAGCGCAATACATTTTGGACAAACTGATCATACATTTACTTGTTAAGATATTTATATATGGAAAATAAAACTGGAAGAAAAAACGATGCAAATCACATTATACTGGATAATGAATCAATAGCATTAGACTATGTTCGAAATGTATTTGATTAATATATTTCATAGTTCTAATCAACTTCATCTCATTGAATGATTATACAAATACAAGAAATTGAAATTAGCCACGAGGTGGATAGACACGAAATAAATAAACACGTAATCATAAGATGTTTGTTATTTAGAGGGAGATAAAGAGCACTTGCAGATTTTGGGCCACTTCAACCAGTGAGTTAAAATATTATAAGCACTTGAATCATGTGATGTGGCCATTCTTGGTTTGATTAAACTCTAACACTGGGTATCCAGTTTGGTCTACATTAGTTGTCGTTAGCTTATATATATATATATATATATATATATATATATATATATATATATATATATATATATATATATATATATATATATATGGTGAAACAGGCTAAACTGAACACTCAGAACAGTTTCGAAAGACAGAATGGGAAGATATACATGGAAGGACGCTGGAACTTAAGATCTAGAAGACAGAGTGAATGCATTAGCGCCATTGTAACCGATGTGGAAAAGCTCGTAACTTAACTAAACTACATGTAAATATAAGTTTATGATGGCAATTTTAAAGTGTTTAAAATGTAAAAAATAAATATGCTGAACAACCAGGATACTTTGAACATACCTATCCCCAGCTCGGAAATCTTTCATAATTTCTTCTCGCTCTTTCTGAACCATATCACCATGCATAGAAGCCACAGTGAAGTTGTTTTTGAGCATTTTCTCCGTCAACCATGCAACTTTACGTTTAGTATTGCAGAAAATAACAGACTGAGTGACAGTGAGTGTATCGTATAAATCACAAAGAGTGTCAAATTTCCATTCTTCTCGTTCTACTGCCACAAAGAATTGCTTTATGCCTTCCAAAGTTAATTCATCGCTGTAAAATATCAGACACAAGTTATTTATTTATCTGAACACATAAATATTGGTACAAGGGGGCACCAAATATATATATGGGGCCCCCAAATGTCCTGGTTAGAACAACCATAATTCTAACAAGAAAACAAACTTATATCAAGATGTTTACACATTTCATGTGATGTTTCAAAACAGTGATGCACTTGAGTGACACGCATTAAAAATCATGGTACATAATTTTACTAATAAAGCATATATTTCATAAAAGTGAAACGTCGAGTAACAGTATATCTGTTCATCGAAACCGGTTTAATTACGAAGAGTAGTATCCTACCCACTATTGTGAGCACGTAAAAGTCACGATCGTTTCTGTTAATTACAGTTGATGAATTTCATAATACAGTGAAAAGAACTCAAACCGAATATCTAGGTATGTTGTGATGATTCAAGATTGACAAATTATTAAGCTTTTATCTTATATATATAATCGATCAAGAAATGTGACTGATGAGATTCGAATGTACCAAGTTACCATGTAACGGTGAAAGCTATTAGTTGACTTTACATACTTGGAAAAGCAGTTGAGCCAAAAAAAACAGATTAAACAGTAATTACACATGCGAGTAGCCGTTTCAAGTGTAATCTCATTACTTACCTCATACTGTTCGCCTTCAAGTAAATAAATAACGTCAGAGGAAACAGAACAATACTCATAGAGTAAGATGACTTTATTCTACATTGCTAGCTTATTATCAATTACATACAATCGCTGTATAGAACTGAACAAAAAAATACAGATTTTACGAGTCCGGGAATGTAAAATGAAGTAGGCTTACAGAAACAAGAGACGAAAGGTTTCCTAGCCATATTTATCAGTTTTTTTTATCATCACAGTAGTCTGATGGAATCTATACTAATTTACCTCAATAACTTAGTAGAACTGCTAGCCCTCATCCCGATTGTAGCTGCTACATTGATGTAGTGGTCAGCTTTGCCTATCGCGGCGACCCAACCGAGTCATATGGGCTGAAACATATTCCTTTAGGTTCCACCCTGGAAGACGAGTTGGCTGGAGAACGGTAAGAGCAAAAGCAGCAACTTAAGGTCCGATCACCGTCTATTTAGAGCAAAGACCAACTTTAATCAGAAGGAAAAGCAACATCTGACGTGGCGACCTTCAAAATCAACTAAACAGTGGACACAAATAGACCACACTACCATCAGCCATCGCTGGAGAGGCTCGATAGGAGACCGTCGCTTATTTTGGAGCACATGTTTGGACTCAGATCATGCCTTAGTTTAAGCACCTACTTGTCTGTCTTACTGGACGTAGAAAATCCACAGCAAGAAAACCCGTTAGAATCTAGCTTAATGATGAAAAAGTCAAGAATATATTTCAGGAACAGAGGGAAAGTTAGTCAACCGTGAAAGTCATGTTCACTTAGATGTAGCTTGGAATGATATCCAGAAAGCTGTGGAAACAGAAGTAGTATCTATTAGTAACTTAAATCAAAAGGCCAAGAAAATTCAGTGGATTTCAGTGACGTCTATTAAATTGATGGATACTCGTAAACTCATATTGGCAGGCTCTAAACACAATGAAAAGCAGAAGCAGCGATAAGTAACAGATGAGCAATCAGACTTACCAACGAAACGGTTATAAGAAATTCGGTTGTTAGTGAAACAATCTCGGAGAAAGATGGGACTTTTATTCACTCTCAATCCAGGAGATTTGATGAATGGGCAGTATACCATAGAGAACAGTTCAACGAGCCTTCAACTAAACTCCAGTTACCCACGATCTCCAATCAACCTGAGTAGTAGACTATTGTATGTCCTCCAACTCTTAGCGAGGTGCCGCCAAATGCCTTAGTACAGTCGGGAGTGGGGAAAGTCCGTTCTCCCTCTCGGGATGCTCCCACATGGCCACGTGCATACAACCACTGCCAGGGTAGTCCTACTCACTGCCTTCTTACGGCATTACTTTTCTTCACGAAAGTGAGAGGACGAAAAGAGAAACTCCGGGGCTTTAACCGGGTTGGTGGACACGGAGGGTCCACATAGGGGAGTTGGGAAACCCTGATTCCAAACCAATTGTGCGCATGGGCTCCAGTATCCTGAGGGAACAAATAGCGTTGGACACCGGCTACCATAGGACTGCATCTCTTTACGTTGCTCCACTGCCTAGTGGGTCAGACCTTTAGATCAAAGGCTCCGGATGTGGCCCCCTAAGAAAACCACCTACTTCGGTCTGGGCACCCGGGCAATATCACAGCCCTTACACAAATCTAATGAGATGACAATTATTTCACGAAATACTATGCTCGCTCCTATTAGAATTCGGACAATTTACATTCACTTGAGTCAACGTGGATCTTTTGATCGAACAAGTGTTAAACATTCGCTTGATGATCTCACGCAAAAAATATCGAAGCTAACTTACCGTTTTACCAGAATCCGAACAGGATTGGTCATGAACTTTGACGTCATTTCGAGGATCTCATGAGGCATTGTGGCTGATAGAAGAACTACTTGTGTACCAGGGGGTAAGTACCGATAAACATCGTAAATTTGTTCTTTGAACCCTTTATCCAACATCTCATCAGCTTCATCCAGAACAAACAACTTAACAGCTCTTGTTCGTAAACTGCGACGGCGTATCATATCTGCACAAAACAAAAACGTACATTAAATCCATAATCTACTCCAAATATACATAACGATAAGTGCGATGAAAACGAACTATTAGTATTCAGTAAAGTTTGTAAAATCAGATCGCTATGGTTAGTCACTACTAATAAGAAAAAATTTAAAATAATTAACAAATAAGCAATGTAACTATCCCCCCAAAAAAACAATGTGACTCAAAGCCGTGTTCATGAAGCTAAAGTTGATAACTGACGGACTAATTAGTGACAGATTACTTCCTTATATGTTATCCTGTTTATGACACATTTTTAAATTCAGTATTGCTTTATGCATGCTATTATGGCATCTTCCTCTTTAGCTATATGATACTGGCTGTTATGGGTCAGTATTTTAAATTTTTTACCCAGTCACTTTAATCAACAGTAGAACTACTAAGAGACACACATGGAACTATAAAGCGTGTGTACATTTGTAGATAAATATTTTCAACAGTACATACTACTCACCGAATACACGACCAGGAGTTCCAGATATGACATGCTGTCCGTAGTCTAGTTTCCTAATATCTTCTCCAATGTTTGTTCCACCATAACAAGCGTGACATTGAACATTCATGTAGTCACCTAGGGCGAGGATGACTTTCTGTATTTGCGAAGCTAGTTCACGGGTTGGAGACAAAACCAAAGCTTGAGTTTCTCTTAGCTGGGTGTCCAACATTTGTAGAATAGATATACCTAATGTTGCGGTTTTGCCAGTACCAGACTGAGCTCTAAAACAGGATAAAAGTTAATAATGAAGTACTTACTGTGCTATAACATCTCGACCCTTTACTATTTGTTTGATAGCTCTTTGCTGAATCGCTGAAGGCCGCTCAAATCCTATGAGATGAACTAAAGAAATAAGGGGTTATTACCATAAGCGTATATCCCACGAAGTAGATCGTCTCGGAGACACATTGAATCGAAAGATGGGATTACTTCAATATTTTCAGATGTTTCAAACTCTACATTCTTAAGATCATCCTCCAAATTATTCCGCTTTGATACACTTTCCATAATTTAGGTAGCAGAGCACTGAAAACATAAGGATGGTTAGAATGTTTACAACGTGAGCATTAAAACAAAAGACATTCTACTGCTACGAAGTATTTATTTATACATTAACTAAAGCATTAGTACTTCCATGGATCTTCACCAGCTGGAACTTTCCTGTTGCGATAAAGTGCTGATCTACCTTTCATTCCTTCATTCACAGGAATACACCTGTAAAGTGCATAGGAACCGAGAACACCAGCTACTATTCCCGTCACAAACAACCCCATCCGAAGACTACCCGACGACACCTGAAGATTCATTTGCGAGTTTCGATCCCTATGTGACATGTTACATAATAACACACAAACTAACTTTATAATTTTTGCAAGCTTGATAATCCACGTAAATTATATAGGCAGTAAAGGTGGGTGCAAAAACGGATAGCAGGTTTCTACGAACTGTCCTTAAAATTGAGGAAACTTTCATTTACATAGAAGAATTACGAAGAGAAATGTGTGCGCAATAGATACAAGTCCACCGTACAGTCAAGGCCAAATCAAAGCAAATGGCGCAGACTTAATGTTCAATATATTGCAATAGCCAATCTTTTGTCGGACAGCTATGAAATACCAGCCTCAATTTAGTGACTAGTATCTCACTATTCATTAACGGTTTCATGTAGTTGATACTGGCTATTGCTATGTACTAGTTTCACAGTATTGATGAACGCGTCTCAGCTCCCCTCAGAAATTAAAGAACCTCCTTACCTCTAAAGCCAGATAAATATAGCTACATCTGAAAGTAAGTAGATACTGTATCAACGCATGTTGCCTTGAGACTTGATGAACGTTTGGTTATCCGCAAATATACTAACCATTTATGACAATTACTTAACACATATCTTCCATTTCTTATGTTCTACATCTCGCACATCCAACACTTAATGCTTTCACTTCTTCAACACCACTCATTGCATTCCGTAATGTATACCCTAACAGTGACAATAGTTCATATCACTGTCATAAACATGAGTTGGAGGTGGTACACGTCTTGGTTACAACTTACGCTCTACCTAATAATGGCATACGCAGCACTCAGAGATTAGTTTAGATGAAAACGGACAAAATCATGTCTCCTAGATCTGAGACATACAAACTTTACCAAATTCAGCACTTTATAATCCTTCTGTCTCAAAAAAGTCTGTCTCTACCTTGTTCCGAAACTCATACGTGTAACTAATTGAATGCACTATCAACCGATCAGTATGAATACAAATAATTTTTTTATCGTACATCAGGAAATTGAGTCTAGTTCATGTCTTTCATATATACACTCATGTTTGGCGAATTCATCTTAGCTGTCTGTCCGAATTTTAAACAATTATCAATACGTCTACCTAATAAGTGAATTTTTGATATTAATTGTACTACTAAGTCATGTTACGGTTAAGGAGTGAGGAAGAAATATTCCTGTAACTATATAAATGTTGTAAAGCCCAAAAGGCTAACCGGCACAAAAGTTGGAATTTTTCCTCTACGTGGTTATACTACTGTTCCTTCAGTTAGCTTATTAACGCAACTGCAATTATAAATCAACAAACTGTCAGCACACGGGCATTAACATCCAATTTGCCAAATGAAGTAAATTATAGTGATAATATCAACATTTCTACATCTCTGAATATCTTTGCATTTGTTTACCATAACTCTGAGCATCAAGTACTTGCGCTGTTCGCACATTAAGCTGTTAACCAACGGTTGCTGTTACACATTTTGATATGAGTTTTTTAAATCTATTAATACTAAACCATTCTGCAGTATAATAGTTCAAATTCGTTTATCTCTCAAATGATGTGCACGTAAATTTTCGATTTACGAGTGCTGAAAATAAAACCAAACATTTTAAAATTATCTCACATAGCGATTTATTTGCTGCTGCTATCGTTTTGCTACATATCTCATTTTTAACATCTGGTGGATTTTAACTATTCTCTTAGTAACCATTTGCGCGCGTTGATCTCACCTGGTATTGTATCGAAATCAAGTTATATTGATCCTGGTAGGAGAGTAGTGTAATGGTGTTGGTCCTAAAGACGGTCGATGAAGCTGAATTTACGGCGACTAAAACTTGCAATAAAAATCGTAGGGAAGGTCAGAAATGGCGAACGCGAGAGCATCCGATCAATATAGCATGGCTTGGCCATTCGGATGTGGTCATCGTCATGTAACCTCTTGCTTTGCATATTATATTAATTGTTTGATTCCCAGTTCAAATCTATTTTTCAGAAGTCTTTAGCCACAAACATTTTCTGTCATGATAGGACAAGTCAGTATGTGTGAATTACACGTAAGGATTGAATGACGAGGTAGTTGTAGAATTATGATCTACTTCGTTATCAGAACTGTTCTAATAATAGACCGAATACTAAAACTGTGGATTCGTTATGATGCAACTGCCTAATCAATAAAATCTTACGTGGAAATCACATCATTCTCTACATTGACTCATCGTATCGCAACAACCAACAATATAAGATAGAGAACGCAATTAAGCTGGAGACAGAATAATATATTTTTAGTATGAATGAAACGGATAAGTCGTATAAGAATGACTACGCCTGCAGGGCTGAGCCATGCCATCCGATGAATTGAATCAACCTTTCCTGCTTTTACCATTGGTGGGTTTTCTTTGCGTTGAATTTTGAATGTCTGTTTTCTCGATTGTCTCGTGTTCAGCTTTGAGGATTGTGTGGTTAAAGCTCAATGCCACAACACAGTCACATCGTTGAAAATCTACAGTTATGAAATAGATCTGTAGCGTGGCGTCGACTTGGGATTAACTATGAACACCTCTACCAAGAAATACGTGCCAAGTAAATCAGAAGGCGAAGATCGAACGTAAACAGGTTTATTTCGTTGGCAATCTCGTGGTATTGAACGAATACCGAGATCGTGCCAAGGAATGGTACAAGTGGAAGCAGAAGACAGGAGTACGTCCGAACAGTACCAAAAACCGCGGAACAATGATGGAAGGTAACGGAAGCACAAAATGACTATAATTAGCACAGTTAAACAAAAGCACATTAAAACAAACACTGGTACAGTTGGCTATGATAATAATTGTTTTTATTAAACCAGTCGTGTTCTCGTGATAAACGTGAGTCACTACAGATCTATTGTTCTGACAGCATAGAAAAAATGTAATAATATTAACCAATCTATGCGACATATTCTTTATGACAAGGAAAGTGTTACACAGTAGTAACCTGAGCCTGCATGGCTGAGTCCTGTCATATCGATCAAGTAATTCTGAGCTCCTATTATCGATGTTTTATACAGTGTTGAATGCAAATCTTCTCACTTGTTGCATGTTCTGGTTCAACAATAATCAGTAACATTGCAATCTCATGGAGAAAACCCAAAATCTAAACATTTACCCTTCCAAGTTAAGACTATTTTCTATGATGTTCGTTTATGTTTTGATTGCCTCGATGGACTAGAAAATGACCTACAACTTCATAACAGTGTTATGTACAACGAGCACTTCGACAATTGAATCAACTTAGAAACTTCGCTAAAACGATTAAGCCTTGTCACTGTTCATTTACATTACTTACCTTGTGTCAGAAAAAAGGTTTTGGTAACGGAGATATTTAGTTCTTATTATGTTCCTTCTGAAATTAAATGGTCTGAACGGTCAATTGTTAATATTCGGTATCATCGTAGAATTTAAGATTAACGTCTAGCCTTTGTATGAAAGGGGTGACTTACCAAAGCTACCGACCAGTTGTTACGTAACTAAGTGTTTTCGAAAACGAAATGTTTGATTTTGATTTTTGTTCTTGTACTGAAGTCTCTCATTCATACTGTGCGATAATATGGAAATAATTGGTCTAGTAGTGCCAACTCGATTTCAAGAAGGATCATAGCTGATGGTCATATCATGCTTATTACATTCGTATTACGCAAGTTCCAAGGTTATTGTGATATATTCAGAAGTGTTTGGATGATTATAAGAACTAGGTATCTCTGAATTAACGCAATTTAAGCCAAGCAGAACTAGGTGAGCACAAACGAACGTATTGTATTTACAATCCAAAATCAGGTAGACATCGGTTACAAAATAATCATTAGTTCATACAAACACTACAATTACATTGGTCTTTATGCGTTTCATTTTCCAATTTTGGTTCTTAACCGCATAATAGTAACAAAACAATTAGATAACCAAGTCTACCAAACTAACATCCTTCATTTTTGTTGTCAAGTCTTGTTGCAGTATTAGATAAACAAGTCTTTAGGACAGCAAGTACTGTGGTGTGATAAAAAGATAATTATAATTATCTTATAAGGGACTTAGAAATGCAGTTCTGATTATTCAAGTCAATGTGAGAACTTGGTATTATTTTAATTCAAACTTGTCTGCACAGCAATCATGGTTTTCTAATAAACTATATCTTGTGTATGCATTGGCTTTCTTACTAATATGTAATACGTAAAGACAATATAAAAATGTGTCTTCTAGGTGTCTATGACTCCATATTGAGCTTTAAATTGAAACAATCATATTAGTTAACTCATTAATTGGTGACATTCTTTTTCTTGAGATCCATGTTTACATTTTTGCAAACGGATTACTTTTTGTGATGGATATTTATACTAAGTCTGCTAGGTAGAAGCGTTTTTACACAGATAGAAAATAACACAAGCGTAAGGAAAATTTTGTCTGAGATTAGGTACATTTGAATTTAATCAACGAATATTCAGTTGAGCAGCAGGTCATTGTGTGTAAATGTAAAACAGAAGTAGACAAGCAGTCGTGAATTCGAGCAAACAGTAGATACGATGAAATCGTCGTTACTTCCGAAATATTCCAATGTCAACAACGAGGAGAAAAGACGTAATATTTCCCTATGGTAGGCTTTAGTGTCCGTAATTCTGACTCCAGTTGGGTCGTTTCTAATTGCTATTGAGATATACATGCAAGGTATCCTCACATATAATTTCCAACATAACCCACGT